CGGACTGGCAGGTCACGACGGACGGGCAGGGCGACGAGCGCGACGGGCGCAGGGCGCGACGGGACGAAGAAAAATGGCGCATTTCGCGTTGGAGCATAGGCGGGCCCATGGTTCTTAAGAGAAATTTGGTCCTAAGATTGTAATAGCTCTGATACCATGTCTAACGTAGTAGATTAGGAACCTTAGGGTTGTGGGATGTGAGAGGGAGTTGGCCGACCAAAAGAGAGGTTCAATAAAGAGAGAGGCATAAGATATAGGGTAAGGGAAGGTGGCCAAGGGGGGTATACCACCAGCAATAGAAGAGATACTACACTAGCTAGTCTAATATGAAGTTATATATAGAAATACAATTTCTGACACTCATATGCAACAACAACCAGTTTCTTACCATGCTCCACCTCGACAATAGTCGCGGATGACTCACGCGTTTGTACCACGAAGTGCACCTGCTCAGCAACAATTACAGCAACAAGATGGAAACAGGCTTGGAGTAAACGACGCAACCAACTATCAAACGCAGATGCTGAATATTCTGAAGTTTTAAATCTCAAAACCTTTTGATGGAATGGATTTCTTCGCCTGGAGTTTTGAATTTGAGCTGATGATGGAAGCAACACAGATTTGGGAATACTTCACCAGGGAAGTACAGTATCCAGTTAACGGAACACCAGATGACTAGCGCAGCTTCGCCTTTCAATCCATGATGGCGTTTACTATTCTTCTGCGCAACCTGTTACTCACTGAAGAACAAGGCATCAGATCTTACAGGTAGTATGCCAGCTCGGCAGAATTAGCATGGCAACTTAACAGATGCAGAGAACTACATGACCAATTTAACCGAAGTGGTGGGAATTTCCCTGAGTCAATGTTCATAACAGTTGTCATTGCCGGACTTGGACCTCAGTAGCGTAACACACGCTCTCTTCATAACGGTTGTCATCGCGCTCAAGGGAATGTCTCGGAAATGCATCTCTACGTGACTCCTCTTGCCAAGCAGCAAGACATGGATTTGAACGACAGTAAAAGAAACAAGAAGGTGAATCAGTTTGCTTTCATCACACGAAGTCAAACAAAGTTACCTAACCAACAACGACAAAAATATTTTCAGCAACAGCAGCAGCAAAAGCAGCGACAACAACAGCCGAAGAAGTAGCAGCAGCAACAGTACTAACATACCTCCGTTTTGCCATATCTGTAAAGCTTCCGAACATTCACGAGATCACTGTCCTCAGCGTCAACCGTCAACGTCTCACCGACTACCTGCTGCTCCCCCGCAGGTTGCAGCCGCTACTTTGTTAGCTGCACAGAGTAAAATATAGACTACATCAGCATCAACAAAGGGGAGAAACGTGTTCGCCTGTATGGCTCGCACATATTAATGTATGACAGGCTCACCTCCAACCTTTGCTCCATATGAGGTTCCACAGGAAGTTCCAACGAATCTTCAAGTCGACCAGCAATACGCCAATGTCGCAACCACTGCCAAATACGGTCCGGGTGTTTGGTTTCTTGACAGTTTCTACGCACAACACATGTGCACGACAGAAGTTAACAACGACTTTTTTGTGAAGCATGAGACACGATTTCAACACGAAGTCACAATAACAGTCGCCAACAATCAGACCCTTCGTACCCGACGTCAAGGCACATTTCTTCTACAGTCGCCTCAGACAAACGCAGTCATCCAACTTTCAAACATTCTCATCGTGCCAGGACTCGGCTACAATCTTATCAGCGTAAGTCAGTTGATGAGCCGTGGTGTACACCTGGAGTGCGACAGCGACAACAGAAAGTTCAAGTTATATTCACAAAAGGGAGGATTCTACGTTGCGAAAGCAGTTTAGCAAGATGGCGTTTTCGTTCTTAATGTGGAAAGGGATGGACCTTCAGCAGACAGCGATCGAATTCTTGCCTTCGGTTCTTGGATGGATTGTCATCCGAAGGAGCTCAACACCGAATTGGATCATCTTGGATTTTATCGGAAAAACATCACTCCAATAGCATCTGAATCATGAACACATGGAACATCACGAGAAGCAGCAAAGTTTGTGAGTACTAGCCTGGAAGCAGAACAGCACGGGGAAGCAGAACAGATACAACAACCATCTATCTTCGATTTCATCACACTCAACATGACCACTTGTCATTGATAGATCGTCTTCTCGTTGCGGCATGGTTAGCGATGTGTCACATACAAGTCCAGCAAACTTCGCCGCCTAATACGCCAACTCCGATTTATATCGACGATCTGCAGGACACGCAGCCTCATAGGACATCTGGCACAAAAGGCTAGGACATCCGAGTGGAAAAATAACTTATTGCACGATACGAGCCAGAGCTTTTGAAAGGAGTTACACCAACTTCGTCATATCTGCACGCTGTGCCCTGAAGAGCATCTACCTTGACAACCATTTCCTTCTCATCATAACCCAGGAGTTCCTGCATACAAACCACTTGAAAAAGTTTACAGTGACATCTTGGTTATACCACGGTAAGGAAGACGAGCAGACTGAAACTACATTATTACCTTCATAGACGCTGCAACACGTTACGTTTGGAACATATTTCTTCTCTCGCGAGATCTTGCTTACGAAGCATTTGTGGCGTGGCTACCTGCAGCTGAAAGGGAAAGTGACTTAAAACTGAAAATTTTCCAGATTGACGATGCTCTCGAATACCTCTCACAGCGTTTCAAGACCTATCATGCAGAAAGGGGAATCAAGAAGCTGCAGTCGCTGCCTTACCAGCATCAACAGCAGGGTGTAGCAGAACAGATAAACAGGACACTACAGAACACCATGCGCAAGCTGCTCGTGGAAGCACGCCTTCCAGCAGGACAATGGCCATATGCAATGGATCACGCGGTTCTGCTCCACAATCTTCTGTCTTCAACATCCTTGCCAAAAAACTCCTCACCATACAAGGAGTGGACAGGGAAACTCGGCAGCACAACAATGTTATGAGTTTTCAACTGCATGGTACAGTACCGGCCTTCGAACACACCAGCGGGAAGATTTTCACAGAGGGCATGCTGGGAAATACATTTCAGCATTGAAAAGGAGTTTGCAGCATGGAAAATTTGGGATGTGGAAGATCGAGTTACAGTACCGGCACATGACGTTCTTTTTCTACGAACGACTTACACACTCCACTTGGCAGATACAACATGCCAACGGAGAAGATGTAACGGCTGGATTTTTTTTGTAAACGTACCTTCGCCACAGAAGCAGATGGAGCTCATGGAAGAAGTTGTCTCGAATGCGTCAGCAGCTGCCGGTGTCGCTCCATACTGTTCAGTTCCGATCGAGATTGACAAGGAAGATCCTCACAATAACGTCAACGCCAAAGTCTATTACGCGCTTGCTGATAACGGAGCAACTACACCACTTCCCGTTGCTTCTAATCAAAGTGAACGGTTGGGTCCTGGTTTCAGTTTCAATCCGGAAGGAGGAGACGAAGCTGCTATTAACGAAACGGAGCAACAGACTCTCTATCAACAGACTGAGTTACAGATACTTGGGCTCGCTGTAACAGTTCAACCAACTCCTCTTACTGAACCGACCACCTTAACTCAAGCACTGAATGGACCTCACAGGGAGAAAGGGTGCGAATCCATGGATAAGGAGCTGAAGGTACTACACGATAACAACACCTGTGACTTAATCCCTATCTCGACAGTGCTTGGGAAGAACATCCTCTCTGGAAAATGGGTTTTCCGCATCAAGACCAATGCTGATGGAACAACTGAGCAGTTTAAGGCTCGTTGGGTTGGTCGCGGGTTCGACCAGAAACAAGGAGAGGATTTCGGCGCGACATTTGCTCCCATCAGTCGTCACACTTCCTTCCGCATTCTACTCGCCTTCGCAGCAGCATTAGGCCTAAAATTTCGCCAAATCGATTTCTCTACGACGTTTCTCTACGCTCTAGTCGGCGCACTCATTTTCGTCGAACAGCCGCATGCTTACGTTACGGATACCTCAAAAGTCTGCCGCCTCAACAAATCTCTCTACGGGATTAAACAAGCACCACGTCTCTGGCAGCAGCATCTATACGAACGCCTCATCCGCATCGGCTTTCGCCAACTGCCTCATGATCATGACATGTACTGCCTCGACCGCGGCACTGCATTCATCCTACTCGTCTTTTGTACATCGGCAGCTCGCCCGACATTATCTCTTACTTTGAAGGGGAGCTGAAAACCGATCTCAACATCACCATCTCCACTAATGTCACACAGTATCTCGGACTCAACATCACCAAGACTTCGACTGCTATCCATCTCTCTACCATAAAATACGCTGAAAAGCTGCTGAAGAAATATCCTCTGTCGATCACTACCTTTAAGACACCGTTCCGTCCAACATCAGTAGCTGAATCTGAGCCTCTCAACACTGCGGGTAACAACAGCTACTAGTGAGTCTTCTCTTTGCAGCCGTAACATGCCGTCCGGGCTTAGCTTTCTCGGCTAGCCAGCTCGCTCAATATCTTAAGAGACCTGAAGGAGAGAATCTAAGGAAGTTGGAAGCAGCGGTGTAGATACGAAGTATGACGAACGTACCATAAGTCGCCGAAGTCGCAGCTAGCTCTACTCGGCTACGTCGATGCAGATCACGCTGGTGACATTACAAACAGGCACTCGTGTACGGGTTATATCTTTCGCCTTGAAACCGTGGGAACAATCTCTTGGTAGTCAAGTTTAGCGAAGCGAAGTTACTGGACCTGCCGTAGTTTCAAATCTTCTGCGACAACCAGCCTAGAATTCGTGTCGCAAACATTTCTGGGTTCGCGAATCGAACCAAACACATTTCACTTCGCTGCTAGTCAAGGACAAAATCGAGCAAGGAAAGTTACAACTCGATTACTGTCCCACGAGCGGAATGGCTGCAGAATTCCTGAAATTCCAGTACTGCATAATGTTGACTGGACTCAACCACATCACCAACATTAAACTCCAGAATTGAAGGGGAGTGTTGGGAAAAATATAATTTGACTTCAGCATTTCAGAAGTTCGATAAAAATATCGCAGCACCAACGCATATCTGCACGTCTTGCCACCACCCCAGCACTGTTCTGCACATGCCTGGCCAGTAGGAGACTATCACAAGCACCACGTGCAGGGAGAGGCTGACGTCAGCAGTGAGCCCCAGCGGCTCGGCAGCCTGAGAGGATTCAAACACCTCTGCCACTCGCACCCCTCGCCACCACACTCCTTCAACACTCCACACCCCCTCACACCCACCCACCCCCTCGCCCTCCTCACCTGTCTTCCCTCCTCCATGATCCCCGCCACCCCCTGCTGCCCCTCCCCTTCCCACCCTGCCTGCACCCGCACGCTGATCTCCCGTGCTACTGCAGCAGGGTGAGCAGGCAGCACGGCCCCCAGGGGCGCAAGGGAGTGCAGCAGCGGCGCCTGCAGGCTCCCATATGACCCAACCGCGCCCTCCCCTCGCCCCCCTGCTGCTGCTGCTGCTGCAGCCCCTGCCTCGCCTGCCTCCTGCCACGTGTGCAGGCGGAGAAGAGGACGGAGAGATGCTGGTAATACTGCTGCAGAATCCAAACAACCATAAGGAACATGTGCATTGGCCCCTAAAGAGGCACATGAAGCGCTGCTCCCTGGAACTGCCACAGCCACAGCCACAGCCATGGCCCCCACCTTCACACTCGCTGCCTGCACAGCCCTGCCCCACCCCTCCGCCTCCACCAGCATGGCCCCGAGCCTGCATTCTAGCTTCGGTTGGCAGGCTGGGCTGGCCCACGTCCAGGCTTGGCAGCGCGGCTGCCTTGTGCCATTCCTCTGCGCTGAGGTCGAGGGCCTTGCTGTTGGAGCACACAGATGCGCCGCCACTGCCATCCATGCTGCCGCCACTACCATCCATGCTGCCGCCACTGCCATCCATGCTGCTGCCACTACCATCCATGCTGCCGCCACTGCCATCCATGCCGCCGCCCACACTGCTCATAAGGGACAGCTTCGCGCCCTCTACCAGTGCAGCCACAGACCAATCAGTGGCTGCCACGTCAAAGTGCACACCTGACTCGTACCCCGTGGCCCACTCCCATATTTCATCACTCTCCAAGCCGCCACCCGCTGCTGCTGCAGCAGCAACTCTCACTGACAACGCACTGTGCCCCGTGGCTGCCATGGCAGCACTGCTGCTCGCCTTGTCCTCCTCCTCGTCCTCAAACAGCTGCTGCACCCACCCAATGGCGCGCCCCATGCTGTGAAACAACCCCCGCTTCTGCTGGCCCCCCTGCTGCCCCCCCTGCGCCCCCCTCTGCTGCCCTTCTTGCTGCCGCCCATCCATCATTCCACCCACCCTCTCCTTTTCTGCCTTTTCTCCCTCTTCACTTGGTGATAGCAGAAGCTTCTCAGCTGCTTCTCTTGTACAACCCTCTGCATTCCGGTTGTCATCTGTGCCAGCGTCATGCCCACCTCCCTCCCCCGTTTCACTCTCCTTCTCCTCCATGATCCCATTAATTGCGTCCCCTGCTCTCTCCGCCCCTGGTTCCTGTGGCCCTGTGCCTTCCCCCCATGCCTACCAGCACAAGTGTGCCCCACTGAGCAGAGCAGCGAGGTGGGAGGGCGAGGCAGAGAGGGCGAGGGGCAGCAGGCGAAGGGAGAGGCAGGCGCGCTGGGGCAGGGCAAGAGCAGCACAGGGCGGGGTGATGGCAATGCGGGAGGTGAGGGACACAGCGCAGAGGAGTGGCACTGGCGAGAAGCGTGGGGAGAGGGGGATTGTTGTGGGTGTGGAGGGGGTGGTACCAAAAAGAAGGGGGAGTGGGTTTGGGAAAAGTGGCATGCAGTGGGATGATGGGCGAGGGACGTGAGAATTGCAATGAGTGGGTGAATGGTGAGAAAGATTGATCCAAATGGCATGCAATGGCTCAAGGACTTGCCACAGATACAGTGGCATACAAGGTGAGCAATGAGTGACAGATGGGGGAGCAGAACGAGGGCTAGCGCCTGCATGACAGGAAAATGGCTTGCAGCTATCATGAGGGCATGTGCCATAACCTTGCTCCACGGACCTTGGCTGGCCTGACAAGTGGCGTTGTGTGTTTGGCTGGATGTACTTGCGACATCCACAGACAGGCCAGTGACCTCCAGAACCTTCCTCACACCTTCCTCTGGTGGCTGGGAAGGATGTGAGGAGAGTGGAATGCGTGTGCGTTGCTGGCAAGGCCACGCTTGGAGGACGAGGGGGGTGACATGATGGTGAGGAGATTAGCTGCGCGAGGAGGCATGGGGGATGCATTGTGTAATACGTATTGTGCAGTGCTATGGGCTATGGGTGGCATGTCATGCATGGTGCCATGCTGTCACGCCTACGCAATGAATGAGAACACGCTCGATCTCGTACTCTGGTTCATCGTGTACGATTTCTGGTAGAGGTGGCGGTAGCTGCCGTCCCTGGAACTGTTGGTTAAGGTCCTTGTAGGGTTTCAAAAGCTGAACATGGAAAGCATTGTGAAGCTTCCACGTATCTGGTAAGCGCAAGCGGAATGTAACTGGTGTCACATGTGCCTCCACAAGAAAAGGACCATAGAAGCGAGGCCGGAGTTTGGTCGGTCAGTGGCGCTGCTATCTTAGCGGCACGAACCTGTTGTAGTAGTTGGCGAAGCCTAGGAACTGCTGCAACTCCTTCACGTTCTCCGGGACTTTCCACTTTTTAACGGCTTCGATCTTCCGCGGGTCCACGTGTATGCCCTCCGCACTCACCATGTGCCAGAGAAACTGCACCTTCTTATGGGCGAAGTCGCTCTTTGACAGCTTCACGTAGAACTTATTTTTCCGCAGGATCTCGAACACCTTCCGCAGATGCTCCACGTGCTCCTTCATGTTCTTGGAGTAGATGAGAATGTCGTCCAGGTACACTACTACGCACTCGTCCAGCAGGGGCCGTAGGATATGGTTCATCTCTGCCTGGAACGTTGCTGGTGCGTTGCAGAGTCCGAACGGCATCACCAAGTATTCGTAGGAGCCGTATCTCGTACGGAACGTCGTCTTGTGGATCGAGTTGTCCGCCATCTTGATCTGCCAGTAACCCGACCGTAGGTCCAGCTTCAAAAAGACTGTTGCACCACGCAGTTGGTCCAGTAGGTCGTCTATGCGCGGTATGGGATATTTGTTTTTAACTGTCTGTTTGTTCAGTGCGCGGTGATCGATGCACATCCGTAGACTGCCGTCTGGTTTTGGGGTGAAGAGAACTGGTGCACCGTAGGGAGAGGTGGATGGGCGGATCAGTTGTTTGTCCAGTAAATATTCAATATATTTCTTCATGTCTGTCAGCTCGGTCGGACTCAGTCGGTATGGTGCACGTGAGACGGGTTTCGCACCTGGTTCCTCCACGATCTTGTGCTCGTGGGTGCGTGCTGGAGGTACGCCTGCGGGTAGGTCGTCGGGCATTATATCCTTGTACTGCTCCAACACCTCCTTTACTGCTGCAGGAAGCTCCGAACTCGGCTTCTCCTTCTCTGCTGCTAGTGCTAAGTAACCCGTGTTACTCTCGTTCATCGTCCGTTCAAACTGTGCCAGTGTCGTTTCAGGAACATCCCCTGAATCCGTCCAGCTTCGCAGTTCCCATTGTTGTAGATGCACACCTTTCGATTGACCCCAGTCGATCTCAGGGTTGAACCGCTTCAGGAAATCTCGCCCCAAGATGAAATCTAAACCCTTGATGTTCGTGATCGGCAACGTCGGCTTCCATCTCAACGCACCTATATGCAGCTGCAGTGATGCTTCGCCGTGGATGGGAAGCTTCGTACCGTCCACCATCCTTGATGAAAATTGGGTCTTCTCCGTTTTCTCTCCACTTTCTCCAACATCCCGCGGTTACACACCGAGTGGGACGCACCTCTATCCACTATCACCTGGAGGCGTTGCCCGTTGCAAATCACCACGAGTAGTAGTGGTTGTTGCTGCTCCGAGTAGCCATAGATGGTCTCGCTTATAGGATCATAGGGTACGTCGAATAGATCATCCCTAAGTCCTGCGCTCGAAGCTGTTGGCTCAATAACCGTTTCCAACTGAGCAGGGTTAGAAGGATTTATCCAAGGCCGATTCAGCTTTGTCTTGGCCTGGAACCTTTCCCTAAGCCTTTGTAGCTGTGTAGGTTTTTCCTGTGGGCAATGGGGAGCCTTAACACTGTGCTGCGGGGAGGGAATATTAACTCCTTGGAATGCACGACCCTTTTCAACACTCCAGAGTGGTTTGCCCAACTTCTGAGGTACCTAAATAATCTCTAAGGGCTTTTTCTTAGCCTCCAATTCTTCCCTGAATTTCTCAAAGGCTTAAAAATCACGACAAGTAGTATTCTTTATAGGATAACTTTAACGAATTCTTACTTTCGTGGGTGTTCGGCTGGAGTTTCCCGGTCGGTGCAGAGTCTTGTTTCGCGGAGCGTCCATTTGTCTCAGCGATTTCCCCTGTTGTCGGCTAGTCATGACGTTTTAAATTCGCGCCATCATGTCCTCCATTTTTTCGCCTGCTCCGAAGTCGCCACGTCGTTGCCTTTCTGCATTTTTCCATATCTTTTTCGGCTATTGGCGATGCTCGTTTTTTTACTTCGGGGGTGCCGCACTGTTGTTGCCCTGCAGCTCTGCTCGTGCCTTCTTCATTTTCCAACACGCCAAGAGTCGATGTCCTGCTGCGCCGCAAAATTCGCATTTCTCGTATATTGTCAGCCGCTGCTTCGCGTCGATCTTCTCGATCTCCATCGGGTCGGCGGTCGTGGGTGGTGCCGATCGCTTCGTGTCGAATGATCTGTTCGGCACGTGGTGACGTGTCTCGGGTTAACGTCGCGTCAGTGCATCAAATCTCTCTGTTGTCGCGGTAGTTGTTGTAGTTCGCGGCAATCACCTGTCGGCGGACTTCCATTTTTAGCCCCTCAGTATAAGCTTGGATTTTTTACCCTTCGGTCAGGTCGGTTATTCGATTGAAGAGGCTCTCAATCTTCTGCGTGTACTGTGTTATGCTGCCGTACTGTTTATACTGATGAATCTGTTGCCGCGCCATGTAGCTCGATTTAATCGGTTCGAAACGTTGAATTAAAGCTGCCCGAAACTGCGTCCATGACCCCTCGCCTCGGATCTCATTACTGTTGTAAATCCACTCGAGCGCCGGGCCTCGCAACACTGTCGCTGCGAGCCGAATCCTCATTGCATCGTGTGTCGCGGTCGTACAGCCAGCGGCCTCGAAGTAAATGTCGAGGGTCGCAATGAATCGAAGGACGTCGGTGTCTTACGCATTTGGATTGAACGTCTCCGGTAGCCTCGGACGTGCCGCCTCAAGATTCACTGTAGCCGCTGCGGCTGCTGCTGGGTGAAGTGTCGGTGTCGCCGCTACTGCTGCTACCGCCGATGTTGTATTCGCTGCTGTGTTCGCTGCTGCTGTGGCGGCTGCCGACTGGTTCGCGAGAAGCTCCTCTACTCGCTGGAGTGCCGCTCGCATCTGGTCCAGGTCGGTGCGTAACTTTGTAAAATTTCCATACGAAATTATTACAGTTTTCCTCCATTTGGCGATTTACAGGAAGATTTGCGACAGAAATAATAAAATTCTAGGCGCTTGTCAACTTACTGCGAATCGATTTGACTGTAGAAATGACGAGCGTTGTTTCTCTTGGTCGCGTAATTCTCCCTTAGCCGAAATTCGCGTCAGATTTTGGCTGTTGAGCTGAAATTCGATCCGACGCCCCAAATTCCAACTTTTTTGGGCGAATTTCTTAGGGCCGTTGATGTTCGAATCGATCCGACGGTCGAAATTCCAACTTTTCTGCCACTGAAACTGAGTAGCGTTCGAAAACAGGTTCGAGGAGGATGTTAAAAAATAGCCGGCCATTATCTCCGATACTCAAATTATGCCCGGAGCGTTTTTCGTTCATACTCAACCTGTATTCCTCATCGCCGATTGGCTCTCGCTCTTTAATCACACTTTCTACGCTAATAATACTGTTTAAATGTGATAGAAACAGAACGCGGTTACTGAACGCAGTTACCACATTAAATTACGAAAAATTGTATCGAGCTTTCGATGTGAACTCAAAACTCGCGACTCATATTTACAAACGTTCTACACTTATACCCTGACGTTTAACACTTGGCTGGTTTGCTCGCCCGTGATTGGTGAAGCAAAAAAGTTACCCCAGCTCGTCATAGATTTTGTAGTTCGCCAACCAATCACGGAATCCTAAATCCAACCAAGTCTTCAACAGTTTTAAATTTGAGATGAAATCTTTCAATCCATATCTACGCGCCCTTGGATCGGAGCTTAACTTCCGTAAAGAACAATAAGTATATTAACACTCATTAAAAAACTGCAGGCAAAAGCGAAGGCATCAACCTTAAATATTTGGTAGCTTCCTGTATTTATGTTTGATTTTCCCAAAGTGTATTCAGGTTATCTAAGTGTTTCATTTTATATCTTGTTTTGTTTGCAGGGGTATGTGCAGGTGAGGTGTTAGTGGCAACTTTGTTTCGGTTTTGTGCCTACAAAAAATGAAACGGTATATGTGAGCAATATAATCGGTTGAGTACGAACGAAAAACGCTCCGGGCATAATTTGAGTATCGGAGATAATGGCCGAAAAATAGCGCGGAACTAGTTTACGTACCCGAAATCGGCATTTTCGTCGTCGCCCCCGCTGTTTTCAAAGCGATCTTTTAGCGGTCAAAAAACTCGCTTGTAAACAGGCTCTTATTACCGAGTGTGAGAATCTAGGATCGAGCTCAGAGAAGAGGGCTTGTTTTGAATGATCACCTGGGTACAACACGAGGCTATATATAGGCTCGACACAAGGCCCAGT